ATTGAAAATTGCTTGTTAAGTAAATGCTCTGAATTAGAGTTCGACTATCCAAAGCACTCCATGTTAATTAGACTAACACTTTTTAAAAAAAATTTTTTTTAAAGATTTTATTTATTTACTTGACAGAGATCACAAGTAGGCAGAGAGAGAGAGGGGAAGCAGGCTCTCCGCTGAGCAGAGAGCCCGATGTGGGGCTCGATCCCAGGACCCTGAGACTGTGACCCGAGCCAAAAGCAGAGGCTTAACCCACTGAGCTACCCATGTGCCCCTAGACTAACACTTTTTTATGACTGCTGTGTTTACAAGCTTTCAGCAAAGAGTGGAAAAACATAAAATGAATAAAATTTATTTCCTGTTTTGAGGAACTGTTCCTAGCAAGGAAGGCAGATATGAAAAAACAGACCAGAAAACTGAAAACAAATGAAATAGGTGTTCTTAGAAAGTTTCAGTGGAAGTCCCAAAGGCACTGAGAGAAAAGAGAAATTCAGTAATTAAATGAACTCAAATCGTAGCCCCCCAAAGAATCCTAAAAGGGCATCTTGTTTATTCCTCGCTTTTGTTTTTGTTCTCTGTTACTGACATGTAAAAAATACGAAAGTCAAGGAAGTTCAATAGTTAGCAAAAATTACAAGTCCGCAGGCAGCAGAGCTCAAAGGGACCCAAGTTCCCTGACACCAACTTTACTATGGTTTCATATTATGCCATCCTGACTTCAGGGTTTCCTATATCAAAGTAGAACTTTGGTTTGGAAATTACATGTCTAAGTACTTGTCAGTGGGTCTGCCATAACTTTTTTTCCCCAGAGGGTGGCGGGGTGGGGGGGTGGATAGAAGGTAGAGAGTTGTGAAACAAGTTTTGAACTTTAAAAAAAAAAAATAGGCACTTTATCATTGATTATTTCCTTCCTTTCTATGAGAACAGAAAAAAGTTCAGAAGCAAATGTGATAGAGATGGGGATCATAATTCAAGGGGATAAGTGAGAAATCTCACTGCAAACACACACACACAAGGGGGGGGCAGCATGAACAACTTCATCAAAGGGCACAGACTGTCACTGGCCCCTTGCTCTGACCAAAAGTCCATGTGCACAGGAAGACCTTCTGGTAGACCCAGATGTCAGTCCATATCACAGGTTGGTTTTCTCTCTATGCCAGGAAAAACGGCTCTTTCTTTCACATTCAGCCTTGCTGAGAAAAAACAACATCATCATCATCATCAACCATAAACATTTCTTGCAAGAAGACAGAAGATTCTCAGCTGTGGCAAATTCTCAACTGGTAGCTAGGGAAACATAACTTAGCTGGGAAGCCCCAGACAGGCACATAAAAGGACAATCCAGCGTATCGGGCAGGTGTCTAATGAGCAGTAGAGGCCATAAATGCTACAGGGGCTATGTGTCAATATCTCAGCCCCGGGTGTTAAGCGACATAATTTTCACCAAGGAGAAAAGTGAGTCTCAGAAGAGCTAACACGCACGTTGGTGGTAAAGCTCAAATTCAAACTGAGGTCCAAGGGGCCCCAAAGCTGTTTGTCCTCGAACCACACCCTCCTTCCCCCCACACCCCCACCCCAGCTTTGCTTCTTTCCTCCAAGAAGGCTAGAACTTGGTCAGTGAAAACCATCACAGCCTGTGTCTGACTTGGATCCAGACACACAACAGGAGGCAAGAACCTGTCTTAGAACCAACACATTAATAGGTGTGCTTCTGAATTGCCTGCGACATGACAAGCCATTAACCTCCAGAAGGATGGGCTATTGACTCAGTCATGTCCTGTGTATACATCTTCAATCCCAGTCGCCTGAGGAAGCATTTCTGTCAGATGTACTGTCACTTCATTTAGTGCCAGACGGCATATTCTCTGAGACTTGGAGAGGATGAGCCTTCAGTAAATGCCTGATTGCTAGGACTGACTCATGCTTGTGGAAGCAGACACAATAAGGTCCAGGAAAAGAATACCTCGAGGTCCCACCTGTCTGTGATATGCAACTTCAATTTGCTTGTCTGCAGAACATTCTACATCTGTTTTTTTTTTTTTTTTTATTCTCTTTTTTTGGCTTAGTGTTCCTTTGATAGGGGAAAAATTAAGTAGTAGGATTGTATGAGCCTCACTGCATGGCACCTTCCATAGATAGATAGGACATTCAGGCATGACAAAAAAATTTTTTTTTGTTACTGCAGTACAGTTAACATGAAAAATATTTTGAAGGATTATAATGTCTTGACTGTGGATGACTAATCTAAAAAGAGTAAGTTGCTATCTTGTTTACAGCTTTGAAATTAGTGAACTGTGTAATGAGATGGTTAAAATAGCTCATGAATATTAAGCAGCCTGAACAGATGCAGAAAGTCCAGAACTAAGGATTTCACATCTGAGTTTTAGGTGACAAACATGATGAGGGAAGTGGTGAATGTGAACTCTGGGGCATGTTGTCAGGGCAGGGAAGGGTAGGACCCCACTGTGGGTGAGAAGAGCTCCAAGGATAAGAAAAAAAATAATAATAATTCAGGAAGAAGGGGCATAATGTTTGTTTTCAAATATAGCACTTAAAGGGAAGAGAGATTAGATTCATTGTGTGTTGCTCCAGCAACTGAACAATAGGTCAATAGGTACCAACAAAATGTTGATTTAGTGCAAAACAGAACATTCTAATAATGAATCTCTTCTAGAATGGACTGGCCAGCGAGAAAGCAAGATTCCCAGCTGATTATTTTCAAGAAGAGGTGGGCTGGCCCATTTACAGAAAGGGCTGCTGAGGTGCACGTTCATGCATCTGCTAGGTACCTCTTAAATTGGTTACCATACTCTTCAACCATTTTATTGGGCACGTTATTAACATTATACCATTCAAGGTTGAAAAAAAAATCCCTTGCCAAAAAGATACCCTCATTGCTTTGTTTACACAATGAGCAGAGGGCTGACTAGAAAGCCTTACCAAGCTTCCATTCTTATCAATTCAAAGCTCAGAAAGTGGATGAGTTGAAATCTCTTATTATTTAAATCATTACCACAGAGATTATAGGGTTTTCTCTTTAAAAAAAAAGGGGGGGGGTGAGGGTTTTATGGACACATGTGAACACACTAAGTTATTTTCATTATTGACATACTTTTAACTGTTCTCTAAAACTAAACCAAGTCCCCATTACTGTGCAAGTTACCAGTGGAGTGACCAGAGAAGTTTAATCTTCCGGTTAGCAAATTTAATCAATATAACCCACGCCTGTTTTTCTAAGTTAAACAATTTGCTGTGCCACATTCTCACTATATCACTCATATTTATCTTTACATTAACAATGCTTACCCGTAGATAGCCAAAAAGCTCGCCAAGTTGGACCAACTTCAAGATTTGTTTCCATACTGGGGTATTTCATGCACTTGGCAGAAGTACGCTGCAACTGGGGCTCCATTTATTACATTATGCTATAAACATTATGTCCTGACCTAATGAAATACTCCACATGATAATCCCAGAGGTAACCAAGCACCTTAAACATCTGTTAAACACAAGCACCAGAGAGCATAGAGAAGATGCCTAGTATCCATTTTAAGTGGTTTATGACGTGGAGTCTGCTGTTTATGCACTAATAATAGAAAAAACACAGCCCCAAACTCTGCCTAGAACAAATATTTGCAAGGCAGAGTTATGCTCAGTATGAAAAAAAAAAATGCACTGGAAAGTCATGGCTTTGTCACTACATTTATAGACTTTCATTTCACACCTTTGCCTATTAAGTGTCGGCTTTCCATCTCATTCAGCCGACCAAAACTATAATTTCACTGTGATATATTTACTCCAAATGAAAAAGTGAATGTTGACTTACCACTTCCCTTAGACGTATGTGAATCAAGAAGTTCACAAGGGTGGAAGGAGAAAAAGGATGAACCGTGCTTAAACTACAAATAATGTTTTCCAGGGGTCTCTGCGTGAAAACACATCCTTCCAGCATCTGAAGTCCATCTTTAGAGAAACTAAAAATAACCAGAGACCCCGTGGAATCTAATATGGGAACACCAAGCTTTTCTCAAAAGGAAACAGCATCCCCAATCACAGAAAAGACAGAACCAACAATCCTATCTACTAAATCATTTTATTTTGTTTCTATCCAGCATTTTAATTTCTGGAAAATATTTCACACTAATTACCTCCAAGGTCTATATACCTTGGCACCCCAAAGGAAAGGACTTGCAGGGTGACCCGGGTGGAAACTAGCCTAGAACACCAATTGCCCACGGCACAGCTGCCACAACATGTATGGAGAAAGGTGAGTGCCTTTCCAGGCACAGGTGCCAGGGATTCTAAAGGTAAACACCCCAGAGACCATCTAGTTTCTGAACTGTGCCCAGCGGCACCCCGGGAATCTCAGATCTGCAGCTCCAACTCGGGTCTGGACCTCCAGGGTTCTGTACCTACACATACACCCATGTCTTAAAACCGTCGTCCTCCATCCCAAGTCTCCGGAGAGTTCCAGGAACCTCCATCTCCACCCCGAAGCTCCTCAAAGGCAAGGGGTTTAGTGTTTTCAGTTTGTGGCATTTAAATCCTATGCAGGACTCCTGCGACTTCCAAACCCTCTGGCCTCCCGTTACCTTTCCCTGTCCCTTCCAAGGTCTCCAGGCTGCACAAACGGGCGGGCGGCACCTCTCCGGCCTCCTCCTCCCCTTCACCTCCTCCCTGCACACCCTACTGGCTCAGGCGCCGACACGCCTCCCCAGGCGCACACGCGCGCGCGCGCGCGCGCACACGCACACGCACACACACACACACACACACACACACACACACATACACACAGCGCTCACGTACACCCGTACAGCGCACACACCCGGAGCCAGGTTACCAACTCCCGCAGCCACGACGGAGGAGGCCTCCCCACTTGGGTTATATACAAAGCACTCACCCCAAAATAGGCTCCCCCACGCACCCGCGAGTGGGTAATCCTGCCGGGCACCCTGTGCACGCCGCCAGCACCCTCTCCCCAGACGCGCGGCTTCCCCACTCACCCGCAGCTCTCATGCCTCGGGCAGTTCTGTCCAAACTTTGAGCCTGGTTGATTTCATAACCACGAGTGTGTCAGGGGCTGAGGGTGCTCGGCTCGCCACGCTGTCTCTACCCACTCCAGCTCCCGGGGACCGGCGGCCGCAACTCTACTGACCCCAGCTCCGCCGGTGCCAAAGCGTGGCTGCAGTCTGCACAAACGCGCAGAGGGCGGTGCGCTTTGGGGAGGAGCGCGAGGTGTCGACGCGCACAGCCGGACGACCTCCCCTCTTCTCCGGTCGCGCCGCCAGGGACCTCTCCCCGCTCGGCGGCCGCAGCCTCAGCCGTTCCTGCCCCGGCCCGGCTGACGTTGTCAAAGAGCAGCACTCGCAAAACTTTTAGGACTTTAACAATACTGGCTTCAGAGGAAGCCCCTCCAGGCAGCGCAAACACTGGTCACAGCAGGCGCCAGCGTGGGATGGTTCGCCTATCGCCCCCAACTCCCTGACGCCCACCACCAAGGTCCACACACACGCACACACACACACATCCATAGCGTGGATCGAGTTACAACCCACCCGCAAACAACTTCTTCGCGAGGAGGAGGAAAGCACAGCCAACCCCCAAGTCCCCCGGGGGGGGGGAAGATTCGTGTTAAATACATAAGCCAGAGCCCCATTTTCATAAACAACTGGTCCACTCCCAGGGCCCCAGGCACAAATGGGGGAAAAGAAGAACCCGACTCCCTGAGGGCCCTCCCCCGCTCCAGTACCTCCGAGTCTCGCCTCCGGATAGAGAGCGCGGGTTCGCTTCCGCGCTGGGGCCGAGGGCGCGGGGGCCTCGGGCCTGCGCGGCCCCAGCCCGGAGTCCCCGCCGCCGCCTCGGCTCAGCAGCCGCCGCCGCCACCGCCGCTCCAGCAGCCGCCGCCGCCGCCGCCGCCGCTCCCTAGACCGCCTCCTCTTCCCATGGCTGCGCCCTGCTTGGCAGCTCGCGGGCTGTCAGGCTTGGGGAGGAGGAGGGGGCGGGGTGAAACGGGAAGGGAGGACGGGAGGGGATGGGTGGGAAACGGCTGCAGCCGCTCACCAGGGGTCACGCCGGGCCCGGCCCGCCGCCCCCGCGACCCGGGCTGCAGCGGCGAGGGGAAGCGGGAGTTCGGGGCGACGGGTTCGAGAGCCGCTGCGGAGGCGCGGAGCGCGGTTGGGGCCAGGCATTCCGAGGAGCTGGGATGAAGCGTTCCCCGCGAAGGAGTTGGAGTTGGTGCGTGTCACTCTCTTCTGGGCCGCGCGGCTCCTCCTAGAGGAAAGTATTGGTAGTTGCAGGACGCTTCCTTCCTCTCCGCCCACCGCTGTTCCCAAAAAGACTGCAGGACCTAAAACAGCATTAAGTGCAGCCAACAAATGGAAAGGAACGCTTCAAGTTAGCTATGTGCGGGAATGGGGGAAAAAAGCGAGCCGGATAGCTTGGAAAGCGTGATTAGCCAACCGAACATTGCCTCTCTCCACCTGCAACCGGTTTCCAAACGCGTGCTCCCTGGGTGAAAAGATAGTTAAAAGTAGGGAGGTTAGAAAAGAGAGATGTAATTTGCCAAAAAGCCCGAGGCATGTGAGCAGAGACGTTATGTCCCGAAGCTAGAGCGCTAAGGTGCAGGGTGTCCGGACACAGGCCTCAGCCAGAGGACTGGCCGTGTGTGGGCCCCGGGGAACTCCTTTTAACTGTCCTGCGCGGGGCACGGCTTATCTGTCAAACCCGAGCCTGTCCCCCTCATTCCACTGTAGGGAAATAAAGTGAGAGGAGAAGTGCTCAGAGTGTTTCAGAAAGTTACTGTCGTTGTGCAGAAGCGTGTCATCTGGTAAAGCCTCCCACTCCCAGGCACCTCATGCTTTTCTCAGCAGAAAGTACAAAAGTCCAGTTCCAGGTTGTGGTCTAAAGGACCAGCCAGTCATGCTATCTTTTTACTATTTACTTTACTACTGACAGCCAGTTGTAATGCCATTTATCTAATAGCTTCTAACAGCTTCGGCTTACTAAATGACTTTTTTTATTGTTGTTATTACAGGGCTCCCAGACACAAAGCCAAGTTTATAACCAGAGAGAAATGTTTAAACAACAATCTAAAGAAACTAAGATTCTTAGCCCTGGAATAAAAGATCCCCCCCGGGGTGTGGAGAGGAGCACATGTGAATGGTTCGCGGCAAGGAGTCAGGAAGGAGCACAGCTGAAGATGGAGGGCAGCAGATGTCACATAAGAGACTCCTATTTTTTTAATTTTTAAAAAAGATTTTATTATTTTCTCAGAGAGCGCACACGCCCAACCAGGGGGAGCAGCAGGCAGAGGGAGAAGCTGGCTCCCCTCTGAGAAAGGAGCCCAATGTGGGACTCCCAGGACCCTGGAATCATGACCTGAGCCCAAGGCAGATGCTTAACTGACTGAGCCACCCAGGCATCCCAAGATACTCCTATCTTTAAAGGAATCAAAGAAGCGGAAAATTCTGTTCCTTGAAATCCTTTCTGAGTCTCAGCTGTGGCTCAACAACCTAATTGTTCTAAGCAAAGAAAGACAGAATGACCAGAGGAGGAAAGATTCTGGAAGGGCTGTGTATCATCACTTTCCTGTACCGTGTCAGGTGTCCCATGGATGTTGATTTTGAACTGGTCCTATTCTTTCCCACCTGAGTATAAGAAGGCTTTCTTTCCCTAACACCTTTCCCCAGTCCCTGATTTCTGGGCTTTTCCAGGCTTTGCTAGAGCAGTAAGAGTGCTTCCTGGTGTCTGGAGTTTTTAAAATGGGAGTTGCCCACACAGAGAAAGACAAGGGCAAAGGCAGGCAGAACTCCAGCCAGGAGGTCAGAATACGCCACACTGACCAAAAGGGCAATAGTGACAGGAATGGAGACCAGGCACTGGAATGGAATGCTGACGCCATTCGTGTGTGACATGACCTTCCAAGTTAGCCTGTTAGACTCTGGCACCACCACATTCTCTCTTTATGTCCTTGTTGTGCCTTCTCATCCTCTTTCCCCCATCCTCCAGCCCAGAGAATCTTGATATAGTCTAGGAGGTAGAAGATGGACTCACAAAATATTTTCTAAGTTCTATTGTTCATGGCCTGAGATGATTTAAGGGCCATGCTAAAAAAGAAGGATTGCCTCCTTTTTTCTTCTGGGTTTAGTAGTACCTTCATTCCCTAAGACAGGAAAATGTAGACTGACTGCTTTGGCTCCTGTTCTATCTTGGGTAAAATAGTCCACGTACACAGACAGGACAGGAGAAGACACATTGGTTAATATAAACCTTATGGAACCAGATATAATCTTGCAACTTACATGGAACTCAGTCTTTATTTTCAAGTCCCAGGAATAAAGGTCCCTTGATCTCATATATGGCAATATGTAGGTCTATAGAAGTACATTCGTCTTTATATTTTCCAGATTATGGGGAGAAATGTATCAGGTCTTCAGTGGACTAATTTGTTTCAAGTTAAGGCATGCCAAAGCCTCATTTGCTTACTCATGTCTTCCCCTCTTATTTTGACCACATGAGGAGATTCTCCTTAACCTTCCAGTTCCAGTTCAATTGTTTGGCTTCTCTCTAAAGTCCTTCCTGGCTCTTCCCAGAGGTAGAATTAATTACTTGTCCTTGCATCTGCATCCTCATAGGCCTTTACACCTACTTTTATTACAGATTTCAGGTGATATTGCTATGTCTACTGTCCCTATTAGTTACGAGAACCCTGAAGGAGATACTCTATATTCTTAATATTTGTGCCTAAAATGTCTAGGTTAGTGCCCAGCAAATGGTAGAGGTCCAATAAATGTTTAGTCAAATTAAATGCAATTTATACCACCCACATGATCTCAAACCCAGATCTCTATACCAAGCTCCTAACTGCCACACTCAGAATCTGTTCACATCTTATGAATCCCTCCATGATCGGCACCACCATAGTCTCACGTTGATGACTCCTGTGGTCTCCCAACTCCACTGGTGTCCTACATCAGCACCCTCCCTGCCCCCCACCAACCCAGAGTCCTGTGCAAACTCACTTACCAGAGAAATTATTATTATTTTTTTAGTATTTATTTTATTTCGTTTAGAGAAAGAGAGAGAACAGGAACAGGAGGTGCAGAGGGAGAGAGAATCTCAAGCAGATTCCATGCTGAGAGCAGAGCCCAGTGTGGGCCTGATCTCATGACCCTGAGACCAATGACCTCAGCTGAAACCAAGAGTCAGGTGCTCAACTGACCACGCCACCTAGGTGCCCCAAGAAATTCTTTTTCAACTAAGTCATATCAGGGCATTCCTCTGCTCAAAACTTTCCAATCATTCTCCATTTAAATCAGAGTAAAATTCAAAATGATCCATGAAACCAGTGTACCTAGAGGGACTCAGGAGTGAATGAGTTAAAGTTGGACTTTAAAGTTGGATTTAAAGCTGGACTTTAAATCATTTAAGTGTAAAGATTTAAAAAATAAAAACGAATTTTTGAGATTATTTTCCCCCTCCATTCATCAAATACAAAATGTTGTTTTTAAAAAAAACATGTGATAGAAAGCCATCTAGCTTCTGTCTGGATAATTGTGCTGATGAATAACCCACTAGCTCCCTTACTGGGAAGCAAGCACATTCCATTTGGTGACTACGCTATTCATTAAAAGTACTTTAGCCAGACTCTGAGATTCCATTATTTGTACCCGGTTCTATCTCTAGAACTCATAGGGACAAAATTTGACATTCAGTTTTTTTTTGTTTTTGTTTTTGTTTTTTAATGAGACACTTTTCTTGTCTCACTGCAAGTTACCTCTTCTCCAGGCCAAACACACACAGGTCATTTCAATACCTGTCAGGTGATGTGTTTTCCAAACCCAGTATTACCCTGGTCCCACCCCTGGTGTGTGCTCTGGTTCATCAAAATCCTTTATAAATTGCTGTCCTCGATATCAAATTCAAACCCTTGAGGGACACCAAAAGGTAGAGGAGAACCATGAGCTTCCACCTTGGTCCTCTGGAGTAATGGAAATGGCAGGAGTCCTGGAGTTTGGCAGATGCGGTGGGAATCCCAGTGCTGACCCAACTTCATCACTCAGTTTACTCTCGAGGAAGTGAATTTA